GCGTCTGGTTCTTACACTTAACCAAGCATAATATCAACATGTTTAACCCTGAGCTGTGGCATAACAGTGACTTTGAATATCCACATCTTTCAGCCGTGACGATGGGCGGTCGGATATCGCAACCAAACAAACTCTTAAGATCCTCGCATCATTATCAGCAGCCACGATGAATGACGCGAAGCATTTTTCGTGTTTAAAAATGTGCTTACACCTACACACGCACGGACGTGCACACACACACACACACACACACACACACACACGTACGAGAGGCAATGTGAATAATCCCGCTCTCTTTGTTCCTACACGTTGAGAAATAATTTTCATCAAAATCAAGGAGAAAGGTGTAATACTACAATTTTTCTTTGTGTATATACATGCATATATTGCTTGTTTGGCACTGATTTCAGATATGTTTGAGGAGGTGACCTTCTAAAAGTCTATGCACGTTAATGCACACCCATCCACCCACCCACACACATACATCCACACATGTATATACGCATACGAACGTGATTATGTCTTAGTGCGCTTTCAGCATACCTACCATGCAAGTAAAGCTGACCAAAAACACTTAACTCGTGAGACATGATCACGCCCCCATGAATACGCATGCTACTTCACATACCGTTTTGCTAATGTTACAGATCATGCAGGTGAAACGAAACCAGAAATGGAGATATACGTTTTCGCTTGTGAAACCTCTATCTCCAAAGCAATGACGCATCAGATCTGGCCCCTAAAAAAAAGAAAAGAAAAGAAAAAAAAAATACATACAAGAAAAAAAAAGCATGTTGCCTCATCTATCAAGAAAACATTAAAGTCATTATGAGGTAACCGGTCGTGTGTGTGTTATTAACGTCATTCCAAGTGGTCACTCTGCTACCAGTGGCGTAGTTTCATTTTCGAAAGCGATCAGAATTAATCCTGTGGGAATCAGCTCAGTTAGGGTGAGGGTGAGGGTGAGGGGGGGGGGGGAGTCGCGACACGGGTGAGAGGTTTGAGTTAGATTAAGAGGGTATGGGAGGGGTAGCGAACAGGGGCATATGTGAGGGAATTGTGGAAGAGGTAAGGGGAAGGGGGAGAGTGAAGAGGCAGAGAAAGGAAAGGATATATAAGGGGTTGGGGGGGGGGGGGAGGGAGCTGATGGCAGAGAAAAAGGTTATGGAAGGGACAGAGGGTGGGTTTGGGGTTAGCAGGTTGGGGGTAAAGGAGACGGATATGGAAAGGGTAGGCGATGCGGCACGGGTGGGAGGGCTAGTGGCAGCGGACGCATGGTATGGAAGCGATGGGTGAACTGGGGAAGGGAAAGAAATGGAAGGATTAGGGGGCAGGTTAGGGATGAGAGGTCTTGGAAAGGGAAGAGAATTGACGAGGAGCAGCAGGGACAAGGCAGGAAAGAGAGGAATAGGGGCAGAGGCGAAGGGAATGGAAGACGTGGTGGGAGGAAGAGAGGAAAACTGTCGAAGGGGCGGGGCAGCTCTCGGGGCGACCTTTGAGGGCCTTTGGGTGGGTGGGGGGTGGGGTAGCAGGAGATTGGTGGAGCGAGAGGAAATGTAGCATATAAAAGGAAGAACTTGGAGCAGGAAAACATTACTTCTAACATGAAGCTCCAGGTAAGTCAGGTCAATCGATGAGGTGTCAGTGAGTGTGCTTGGAAGGAAATGATACGAGGAAAAGAAATTAAATCAATGAAATTCTGAAATCATTATTCAGCAATATTCATCAGCTGCTTTCTCACCTTGCAGGTCTTAATCTCAACACTCGTGGCCACGTCGTTAGCCGCACCTCAGGGCTACAGTCTGGGTACGCCCTCAGGACCAAGTTTTGGAACTGGAGGTCCGGGTCCAGGATTTGGCTCAGGAGGATGCGGCCCCGGACAGGTGCTGCATGTCGACGGCAGGTGTGTCACTCCGCGTGTCAATCGTAAAGTGTACTTATATGACGCGCCGCCTTCACCACCAATTTCCCACGGTCCTCCTCCTTACATCCCTGAGCCTACCATAGACACAAATATTGTGTTTATCCGAACTCCTGAAGGGGGACAAGGACCAGATCCCATCGTCATACCTCCACCACAGCAGAAACAGGTCGTGTATGTCCTCAATAAACAGACACAACAAGGACAGGAAGTGATTGAAGTGCCGGCACCACCAGCAACCAGTCCTGAAGTTTACTTCGTAAACTACGCTGACGGCGAGAACCCTGTTCTTCCCAGCGGTGTTGACCTTCAGAGTGCATTGAATGCAGCTTCCCAAGGAGGCGGCCAAGTGATTGGTGGCGGCGGTGGAAGTATCGGCGGCGGTTTCGGAGGCAGCGGAGGTGTAGGCGGTGGTTTCGGAGGTGGATTTGGAGGTGGTGCTATAAGCGGAGGTTTTGTAGGCGGTGGCCACAGTGGGGAATTTATTTCTGGTGGAAGTAGCGGTGGATTTATCACAGGAGGTGGTTTCGGTGGAGGCTCTAGCGTTGTCTCCACTCCATCAAATCTTTACAGTACACCATAGGGTTTCTCATCTGAACATCTTAATTTCATAGGCTTTTAGACATGTATCTTTATAAACTTTACATTCTTTCATCCTAAACAAGATTCATTTCGACTTATGGATGTGTATACTGTATATATCATTTAAATAAACAAAAGGAAAATAGATGAGTGATTCTTGACCTAAGTTTTACACAACAGGCAAAGGAAATACAGCGTAACATGCACTAGTACACTCTCATACAAACATGTATAAATTGTTTAATTTTTTCTACATAAACATGTTATTTATTTATTTATTTATTTTTTTATTACCATTTAACAAGAAAGGAAATCGAGTTACTAGTACTGTACACTTGGAAGTCTGTGTAGGTTTAGCTGAAAAGACTATAAGAACTTATACAGTAGCGAAAGAAAAAAACAACAACAAAAAACAACTTCACCTGGAAGCATTTCTTATTCACAGATGATTCAAAAATCCTATACAGACTAGGTACTGTAGTTCAGCTTTTGTTCTATATGCAAGGGAGAAGAAAAAAAAATCAACATTTTTCAATGGAATGACACAGTAGAAGAGCGATTCTTGACGTGCACAAACAACAGTAGCCTTATGGTTTAGCATAAGAAATAAATACGTGTAGGGACAGTTTGGAAAAAAGGAAACCAGGGATTACGACCATTATTCGGTCCAATAAAAGAATACTATTTTTTTTATTATTATTTTTTTTAGGTCTGGATGAAAATATGGAAGATGTTACATAAGGTAACTTAACATAATTAAATATAAACGATTTATCAACATTTCGAACGAAGCAACTTTTTTTGGCACAAAATTTAATTCATACAAAGACTACGAGTTATTAGAGGTTTTGGTAGTTCTCTGTATATCAAGAGAGAAGTAAACAATGGTCTAAAATAAAAAATGGAATCATACGATACACAGGAGCTAAAGCAAATCATTCCCCCCCCCAAAAAAAAAAAGAAAAAAAAGAAAAGAAAAACAATGTAATGCGTTCCACTCATAATCTTTTTTACCTCAACTTTTATATTCAAACACAGGAATTGATCAATAGTCATATTGTAAATGAAGGAATGCGCACGGCAAAACATATGTATGGTCATAACATACTATTAATGTATATTGTATACCATTTTATACTATTCGCATTTATGTGTTTGGATCTCCATTCATATTAGTACATATTTGAATACGTATACGGAGTCGTATGGTTAAGGACGAAAAGAACCGCAGATGAAAGCTTAGTCATTAAATAAGGAAGTGGAGCTGGCAAAGGAGTATCCAGTCTACTACCAGGATAACTTTTTTTCGGGCTAGAGATACTGCACAGAATACAAGCCAGCCGACAACACTCGCACCAAATCTGAGATAGGAAGTCATTATATTTCCTTCATAACAGTTATAAAGAAAACTAAAAGTAAAAACAAGAAGGTAACAATATAAGATTGAAACGATAATAACAGGAACAGAAGAAAGACGAAAAGCAATTAAAACTAAAAAAGGAAAAATATAGACATACATAAACCTGTGATCATGAAAAAGGATTTTTTTCATGCTTATCCGACCTAGACAGTAACATCTAAAACTTATACAGACACGCGCGTACACGCGCGGATGGGTTGGGGCACGGATGACCGGGCTGGGGGGAAAGGTAAAGGGAATGGGGGTGGGGGTGGGTGGGTAGGCAGGAGTGAGAGAGCTGTAGGAAAAGATGGGCGTGGAGAGGAGTGGAAGGGGGTAGGGGAGAACGGGGAGTCACTGAGCCGGGCGGGGTAGGATCTGGGGCGACCTTTGAGGGTGATGAAGAGGAGAGCAGGGGAATGGTGGAGCGAGAGGAAATGTGGTATATAAAAGGCGGCGCCTGGCGCGGGAAAGCATTACTTCCAACATGAAGCACCTGGTAAGTCAGGTCTCTGTGTTAGTGTGTTTGCTCAAAAAGAAATGACACGAGGAAAAGAAATTAAATCAACGGAATGCTGAAATCATTATTCAGCAATAAATGTCACGCTGCTTTCTCATTTTGCAGGTCTTGATCACAACAATCGTGTTAGCCGCACCTCAGGGCTACAGTCTGGGTACGCCCTCAGGACCAAGTTTTGGAACTGGAGGTCCGGGTCCAGGATTTGGCTCAGGAGGATGCGGCCCGGACAGGTGCTGCATGTCGACGGCAGGTGGTCACTCCGCGTGGTCAATCGTAAAGTGTTACTTATATGACGCGCCGCCTTCACCACCAATTTCCCACGGTCCTCCTCCTACATCCCTGAGCCTACCATAGAAACTAATATTGTGTTCATCCGAACTCCTGAAGGAGGGCAAGGACCAGATCCCATCGTCATACCTCCACCACAGCAGAAACAGGTCGTGTATGTCCTCAATAAACAGACACAACAAGGACAGGAAGTGATTGAAGTGCCAGCACCACCAGCAACCAGTCCTGAAGTTTACTTCGTGAACTACGCTGACGGCGAGAACCCTGTTTCTTCCCAGCGGTGTTGACCTTCAGAGTGCATTGAATGCAGCTTCCCAAGGAGCGGTCAAGTGATTGGTGGCGGCGGTGGAAGTATCGGCGGCGGTTTCGGAGGCAGCGGGAGGTGTAGGGCGTGGTTTCGGAGGTGGATTTGGAGGTGGTGCTATAAGCGGAGGTTTTGTAGGCGGTGGCCACAGTGGAGAATTCATTTCTGGTGGAAGTAGCGGTGGATTTATCACAGGAGGTGGTTTCGGTGGAGGCTCTAGCGTTGACTCCACTCCATCAAATCTTTACACTACACCATAGGGTTTTTCATCTGAACATCTTAATTTCATAGGCTTTTAGACAATATGTTATCTATATGTCTTTATAAACTTTACATTCTTTCATCCTAAACAAGATTCATTTCGACTTATGGATGTGTATACTGTATATATCATTTAAATAAAAAAAAGGAAAAATATAGACATACATAAACCTGTGATCATGAAAAAGGATTTTTTTCATGCTTATCCGACCTAGACAGTAACATCTAAAACTTATACAGACACGCGCGTACACGCGTGGATGGGTTGGGGCACGGATGACCGGGCTGGGGGGAAAGGTAAAGGGAATGGAGGGTCGGTAGAGGGGATGGGGGTGGGGGTGGGTGGGTAGGCAGGAGTGAGAGAGCTGTAGGAAAAGATGGGCGTGGAGAGGAGTGGAAGGGGGTAGGGGAGAACGGGGAGTCACTGAGCCGGGCGGGGTAGGATCTGGGGCGACCTTTGAGGGTGATGAAGGAGGAGAGCAGGGAATGTGGAGCGAGAGGAAATGTGGTATATAAAAGGCGGCGCCTGGCGCGGGAAAGCATTACTTCCGACATGAAGCACCTGGTAAGTCAGGTCTCTGTGTTAGTGTGTTTGCTCAAAAAGAAATGACACGAGGAAAAGAAATTAAATCAACGGAATGCTGAAATCATTATTCAGCAATAAATGTCACGCTGCTTTCTCATTTTGCAGGTCTTAATCACAACAATCGTGGCAACCAGTCCTGAAGTTTACTTCGTGAACTACGCTGACGGCGAGAACCCTGTTCTTCCCAGCGGTGTTGACCTTCAGAGTGCATTGAATGCAGCTTCCCAAGGAGGCGGTCAAGTGATTGGTGGCGGCGGTGGAAGTATCGGCGGCGGTTTCGGAGGCAGCGGAGGTGTAGGCGGTGGTTTCGGAGGTGGATTTGGAGGTGGTGCTATAAGCGGAGGTTTTGTAGGCGGTGGCCACAGTGGAGAATTCATTTCTGGTGGAAGTAGCGGTGGATTTATCACAGGAGGTGGTTTCGGTGGAGGCTCTAGCGTTGACTCCACTCCATCAAATCTTTACAGCTACACCATAGGGTTTTTCATCTGAACATCTTAATTTCATAGGCTTTTAGACAATATGTTATCTATATGTCTTTATAAACTTTACATTCTTTCATCCTAAACAAGATTCATTTCGACTTATGGATGTGTATACTGTATATATCATTTAAATAAACAAAAGGAAAATAGATGAGTGATTCTTGACCTAAGTTCTACACAACAGGCAAAGGAAACACATTAGTGTAATATGCACTAGTACACTCTCATACAAACATATTTATAAATTTTTAATTTTTATTTTCAACATAAACATGTTATTTGTGTATTTTTTTTTATTACCATTTTACAAGAAAGGAAATCGAGTTACTAGTACTGTACACTTGGAAGTCTGTGTAGGTTTAGCTAAAAAGACTATAAGAACTTATACAGTAGTAGAAAAAAAAAAAAAAAAAAACACCTGGAAGCATTTCTTATTCACAGATGATTCAAAATCCTATACAGACTAGGCACTGTAGTTCAGCTTTTGTTCTATATCCCAATGGTGCCGGGTGTACAAAACAAAACAAAAAAACTCTACGCTTAAGCAAACAAAGGCGGCGCGCCGACTTTGAGCGCGTGAGTAGGGGACATCAGCCCGAATCACTGGCTCGCCGCGCTTTGGCGCGCCGCCGGCTCGTTTGGCTGCACGCCAGCTTTCGAGCGCTTTGTTTACACGCCGATCGGCGTCACCCGGCACCAAGGGGATATGCAAGGGAGAAGAAAAAAATCAATATTTCTCAATGGAATGACACAGTAGAAGAGCGATTCTTGACGTGCACAAACAACAGTAGCCTTATGGTTTAGCATAAGAAATAAATAGTGTAGGGACAGTTGGGAATAAAGGAAACCAGGGATTATGACCATTATTCGGTCAAATAAAAGAATACTATTTTTTTTTTTTTTTTTTTTTTTTTAGGTCTGGATGAAAATATGGAAGATGTTACATAAGGTAACTTAACATAATTAAATATAAACGATTTATCAACATTTCGAACGAAGCAACTTTTTTGGGCACAAAATTTAATTCATACAAAGACTACGAGTTATTAGAGGTTTTGGTAGTTCTCTGTATATCAAGAGAGAAGTAAACAATGGTCTAAAATAAAAAAATGGAATCATACGATACACAGGAGCTAAAGCAAATCATTGTCCCCCCCCCTCAAAAAAAAAAAAAAAAAAAAAAAAAAAACAATGTAATGCTCTTATAAAACAAACTATGTCACTGCTTTCTCATTTTGCAGGTCTTAATCTCAACACTCGTGGCCACGTCATTAGCCATCCCTCAAGGTTATAACTTAGGTACTCCTTCAGGACCAAGTTTTGGAATTGGAGGTCCGGGTCCAGGATATGGCTCAGGAGGATGCGGCCCCGGACAGGTGCTGCATGTCGACGGCAGGTGTGTCACTCCACGCGTCAATCGTAAAGTGTACTTATATGACGCGCCACCAGCACCAGTTTCCTACGGTCCTCCTCCTTACATCCCTGAGCCTACCATAGACACAAATATTGTGTTCATCCGAACTCCTGAAGGAGGACAAGGACCAGATCCCATCGTCGTACCTCCACCACAACAGAAACACGTCCTGTATGTCCTCAACAAACAGACACAACAAGGACAGGAAGTGATTGAAGTGCCAGCACCACCAGCAACCAGTCCTGAAGTTTACTTCGTGAACTATGCTGATGGCGAGAACCCAGTTCTTCCCAGCGGTGTTGATGCCCAGAGTGCCTTGAATGCATTTTCCCAGGAAAGCGGTCAAGTCACTGGAGGCGGCGGAGGTGTCGGCGGTGATTTCGGAGGCAGTGGAGGTGTTGACAATAACTTTGGAGATGGAATTAGCGGTAGGTTCGGAGGTGGTGCTATAAGCGGAGGTTTTGTAGGCGGTGGCCACAGTGGGGAATTTATTTCTGGTGGAAGTAGCGGTGGATTTATCACAGGAGGTGGTTTCGGTGGAAGCTCCAGCGTTATTTCCACTCCATCAAATCTTTACAGTACACCTTAGAGGTCTCCAGCTGAACATCTTAATAGTATATTCTTCTCATTAACTTGTCTAAATGGTTTTATAAACTTTACATTCTTTCATCCTAAACAAGATTCATTTCGACTTATGGATGTGTATACTGTATATATCATTTAAATAAACAAAAGGAAAATAGATGAGTGATTCTTGACCTAAGTTCTACACAACAGGCAAAGGAAATAGAGCGTAACATGCACTAGTACACTCTCATACAAACATATTTATAAATTTTTAATTTTTATTTTCAACATAAACATGTTATTTGTGTATTTTTTTTTATTACCATTTAACAAGAAAGGAAATCGAGTAACTAGTACTGTACACTTGGAAGTCTGTGTAGGTTTAGCTGAAAAGACTATAAGAACTTATACAGTAGTGAAAGAAAAAAAATTAAAAACTAAAAAAGGAAAAATATAGACATACCTAAACCTAGGTGTTGATACTGTGATCATGGAAAAGGATTTTTTTCATGCTTATCCGACCTAGACAGTAACATCTAAAACTTATACAGACACGTGCGTACACGCGTGGATGGGTTGGGGCACGGATGACCGGGCTGGGGGGAAAGGTAAAGGGAATGGAGGGTCGGTAGAGGGGATGGGGGTAGGGGTGGGTGGGTAGGCAGGAGTGAGAGAGCTGTAGGAAAAGATGGGCGTGGAGAGGAGTGGAAGGGGGTAGGGGAGAACGGGGAGTCACTGAGCCGGGCGGGGTAGGATCTGGGGCGACCTTTGAGGGTGATAAGGAGGAGAGCAGGAGAATGGTGGAGCGAGAGGAAATGTGGTATATAAAAGGCGGCGCCAAGCGCGGGAAAGCATTACTTCCGACATGAAGCACCTGGTAAGTCAGGTCTCTGTGTTAGTGTGTTTGCTCAAAAAGAAATGACATGAGGAAAAGAAATTAAATCAACGGAATGCTGAAATCATTATTCAGCAATAAATGTCACGCTGCTTTTTCATTTTGCAGGTCTTAATTTCAACACTTGTGGCCACGTCGTTAGCCGCACCTCAGGGCTACAGTCTGGGTACGCCCTCAGGACCAAGTTTTGGAATTGGAGGTCCGGGTCCAGGATATGGCTCAGGAGGATGCGGCCCCGGACAGGTGCTGCATGTCGACGGCAGGTGTGTCACTCCGCGCGTCAATCGCAAAGTGTACTTATATGACGCGCCACCAGCACCAGTTTCCTACGGTCCTCCTCCTTACATCCCTGAGCCTACCATAGACACAAATATTGTGTTCATTCGAACTCCTGAAGGAGGGCAAGGACCAGATCCCATCGTCGTACCTCCACCACAACAGAAACACGTCCTATATGTCCTCAACAAACAGACACAACAAGGGCAGGAAGTGATTGAAGTGCCAGCACCACCAGCAACCAGTCCTGAAGTTTACTTCGTGAACTACGCTGACGGCGAGAACCCTGTTCTTCCAAGCGGTGTTGACCTTCAGAGTGCATTGAATGCGGCTTCCCAAGGAGGCGGTCAAGTGATTGGTGGCGGCGGTGGAAGTATCGGCGGCGGTATCGGAGGCAGCGGAGGTGTAGGCGGTGGATTTGGAGGTGGTGCTACAAGCGGAGGTTTTGTAGGCGGTGGCCACAGTGGAGAATTTATTTCTGGTGGAAGTAGCGGTGGATTTATCACAGGAGGTGGTTTTGGTGGAGGCTCCAGCGTTGTTTCCACTCCATCAAATCTTTACAGTACACCTTAGAGGTCTCCAGCTGAACATCTTAATAGTATATTCTTCTCATTAACTTGTCTAAATGGTTTTATAAACTTTACATTCTTGAATCCCAAACGAGTTTTGTTGTCTCTTATGGATGTGTATATATATTTTAATAAAGAAAAGAAAAGAAAAAAGATGTACGATTCATGACCTATATTCTGCTGTACAAAAGGCAAAGAAAAACACTTCTTAGTATACATACTTATGCACTTACAAACACAAGTATAATTTTATTTTTATGGTTTGCCTTTATGAACACACACACACACACACACACACACACATATATATATATATATATATATATATATATACATATATATATATATATTACTTGCCAAGTGCAACGGTCAATTTATAAGAAAAATTGATCGAATATGTTATAATTCAGTGGAGTAAAATACCACTGGAAGTCTGTGTCGATCTAGCTGAAAACATAAAAGTAACTACTATGATAACATGTAGGTCTACAGAAGTTAAAGAAAAAATCTTCACCTCTAATCATTTCTTGTCGACAGAAAATGCGAAGACTTATACAGACTCAGGTACTATAGGTTTGATTTTGTTGTTTACAAAAAAAGAAAGGAACAATAGTTTTTGATAAGAAATAGTAGAGCGATTCGAAAGAAACCGAGGACTCATCACCGTCAGATAAAAAAAAAGAAAATTCTTTATAGGTCCGGATGAAAGAAAAACAGATCACTTGATAACGCACAATAGTTAACATATTATTATTATTATTGTTATTATTTTTTTACAGTTTCGGACGCAACTTTTTTTTTTTTTTTTTTTTTTTTGGGGGGGGGGTGCACAAAATGTTAGTTCATACACAGACTACGAATTATTTGAGGTTTTGTCGTACTGCTTACCGTTGCTTACAAAAAAAAAAAAAAAAAAAAAAAAAAATAAAAAACCGTAGATGTATTCCCCTTTTTTACGAACTCCAAATCTATGTTACCTCGCTTTTCTTACTTAAACATAGGAAGGAATTAATAGTCATATTTTAAAACAAGAAATGCGTACAACAACACATATAGAGGCATGTATACTATTAAAGTATATTGTATACCATTTCATACTATTCGCATTAAGATGTTAAAATCCCCATGCATATGATAACACATATTTGAATACGTATACGAACACATATTTAAGGAAAAAGAAAAGCGTAGATAAAAGACAGTTAAACTGAAAAGGGAGCAGGGCTAGGATACCACACGAAATACAAGCAACCGACAGCGCTCGCACCAAATTTGAAATCCGAAGTCATTAAGTTTCCTTCTTAACAGTCATTATGAAGAATATATATATGTATATATGTATGTATATATACACATCGCTACCTCATTGTAAGAGGGTCGTAACTCCAAATTCCTGATTTTTTAGGAGACGCATTTGAAAATTGCTAAGTTCTATGAATTTGATCATGTTTCACAAAACAACAAAACTTACCATCTTTATTAGGTGAATATAAAGATGGTAAGTTTTGTTGTTTTGTGAAACATGATCAAATAAATAGGACCTAGCAATTTTCAAATGCGTCTCCTAAAAAATCAGGAATTTGGAGTTACGACCCTCTTGCAATGAGGTAGCGACATATATATGTATATATGTATATATATATTTTTATGATAACAGTAGAATAAGCTTGGAAATAGGACAAGAAAGGGAAAGCGAGAGACAATGAAAAAAGGAAATACATATGTATAAGCCTAAATATTTATATTATGAGCATATCAGACCTAAAAACCAATACCTCAAACCTACACATACGTGCGCGCGGATGGGTTGGGGCACGGATGAACGGGCTGGGGGAAAGGTAAAGGGAATGGAGTGTCGGTAGATGGGATGGGTGGGATGGGGTAGGCAGAAGTGACAGAGCCGGGGGGAAAAGATGGGCGTGGAGGGGAGTGGAGGGGAGTAGGGGATAACGGGGAGCCACTGAGCTGGGCGGGGTAGGATCTGGGGCGACCTTTGAGGGTGATGAGGAGGAGAGCAGGAGAATGGTGGAGAGAGAGGAAATGTGGTATATAAAAGGCGGCGCCTGGCGCGGGAAAGCATTACTTCCGACATGAAGCTCCTGGTAAGTCAGGTCTCTGTTGTGTCAGTGTGTTCGAATAGAAATGCCACGAGGAAAATGAAATAGATTGAATTAATTGAATCAACAGATTGCTGAGATAATTCGGCAATATATCACATACTTTCTCATTTTGCAGGTCTTAATCTCAACACTCGTGGCCACGTCGTTAGCCGCACCTCAGGGCTACAGTCTGGGTACGCCCTCAGGACCAAGTTTTGGAACTGGAGGTCCGGGTCCAGGATATGGCTCAGGAGGATGCGGCCCCGGACAGGTGCTGCATGTCGACGGCAGGTGTGTCACTCCACGCGTCAATCGCAAAGTGTATTTATATGACGCACCACCAGCACCAGTTTCCTACGGTCCTCCTCCTTACATCCCTGAGCCAACCATAGATACAAATATTGTGTTCATCCGAACTCCCGAAGGAGGACAAGGGCCAAATCCCATCGTCGTACCTCCACCGCAACAGAAACACGTCCTGTATGTCCTCAACAAACAGACACAACAAGGACAGGAAGTGATTGAAGTGCCAGCACCACCAGCAACCAGTCCTGAAGTTTACTTCGTGAACTATGCTGATGGCGAGAACCCAGTTCTTCCCAGCGGTGTTGACCTTCAGAGTGCCTTGAATGCAGCTTCCCAAGGAGGTGGTCAAGTGATTGGTGGCGGCGGTATCGATGGTGGTTTCGGAGGTAGCGGTGTTGGTGGTGGCTTTGGAGACGGAATTAGCGGTGGATTCGGAGGTGGTGTTATCAGCGGAGGTTTCGTAAGCGGTGGCGATAGTGGAGAATTTATCTCCGGTGGAAGTGGAGGTGGATTCATCACAGGAGGGGGTTTCGGTGGAAGCTCCAGCGTTATTTCCACTCCATCAAATCTTTACACTACACCATAGTGTTTACCATTTCCACCCCAACTTCTAGTTAAGATTTTATTCAAGGAGCTTTATAAAATGCATAAACATGAATGATTTATTGTTGTCTATATTGATTTAATAAATATAAGAGATAAAAACCGATACTTAACCTAGATTGTCACCGTCATAATTTAGTAACATAAAATGTTACATGAAATCGAATAGACCTATGCAAAACACAGAAGAAATCAATGGGATAATATAAATATCAAAGAGAAAAAAAAGAGAGAAAAAATCTACTTACAATGGAGGTGAGTATTTTACTGACAAAAATAGAAAAAAGAGGATCAAATATGGAAATGATAATACTATTAACAATTACATTAATGCTAATATGAAGGCCAAAAATATGAGCGATACTAATGGTAATGCTAATCATAATGATAGTGATGACAATGATGACTGTCATGATAATAATAATGATATTCTTATCGTGCCATCATTGTTACTATCATTGCTATCAATATCATTATTATCATCACTATTATCATAATAATAATTATTATCATTATTATTTTGATTTTCATTATCATCATGAACGTCGCTATGATTACTATTATTATCATTTTAATTATTTTTATTATTATTATTACTATCATTATTGTTGTTGCTATTGTTATTATTATTGATATTATTATTATTATTACTATTATTATTATCATTATATTATTATATCAGATAAGATAATAATAAAATATGATAATGAAAATACTATAATATATATATATATATATATATATATATATATATATATATATATATACTTGCAACAACAAACCCATACCTAAACATAATAATGCGCTAACACACACACACTTACAGAGGGATGTACCCATAGTGGGCGGGTATGTTCTGGGAGGGCGATGAGGAGAATAGGAGAATGGAGCGAGAGGAAATGTGACATATAAAAGCCAGATCTTGACCCGGGAAAGCAATACTTCCAACATAAAGCTCCTGATAAGTCAGGTCTTAGCTGTGTCAGTAAGTTTGCTCGAACGTGAAAGGAATGATATGAGGAAGAGAAATGAAAACAATGAAATGCTCTTATAAAACAAACTATGTCACTGCTTTCTCATTTTGCAGGTCTTAATCACAACAATCGTGGCAACTAGTCCTGAGGTTTACATCGTGAACTATGCTGGTGGCGAGAACCCATTACTTCCCAGCGGTGTTGATGCCCAGAGTGCCTTGAATGCATTTTCCCAGGAAAGCGGTCAAGTCACTGGAGGCGGCGGAGGTGTCGGCGGTGATTTCGGAGGCAGTGGAGGTGTTGACAATAACTTTGGAGATGGAATTAGCGGTAGGTTCGGAGGTGGTGTTACTAGCCGAGGCTTTGTAAGTGGTGGGGATAACGGAGAATTTATCTTCGGTGGAAGAGGCGGTGGATTCATCACAGAAGGTGGTTTCGGTGGAAGTTCCAACGTTGTGTCCGCTCCCTCGAATCAAATTTACCATTTGTATATTTCAGCCATATATACATTAAGGTTTTATGTTAAAGAATATATGTTCATGACATACGTTTTGTTTTGTTATACGGCTGTATATTCATTTATTTAATAAATGTGAAAAATATATATTTAGGGATGATTCTTGACCTATACAAACATAAATTACACATGTATAGGCATATTAATAGAAAGTTAAAAAGTTGGTAGATTTATGGTTTATTTTTCATTATACGAATGTTTTTATTAATGATTTTCTAGCCTCCTGCAGAGGAAAATTAACTGGGAAGCTGAGCGACTGTCAGTCATAATTCAGTTTTATAAAATTTGTTGAAAATCTGAATAGATTTATGTGAATGTGGAAAAAAATAAATCCTTACATACATTCTAAATATTATTGATTTGATAATGGTATACACGCAAATTGCAATAGTGATTATAATCAGGATACTAAAAATATCAGCATGATAATGAGAATAGTAGTAGTAGTAATAATAGTAATAATACAACAATGATGATTAGAATAATGATGATGCAGACGATGCTGGTGACGACGATGGTGATGACGATGATAATAAGGATAATAATAAATGCAAGTACTAATAGTAATGATGATAGTTATAGTAATTGATAATAAAAAGGACAAACAATACACTTCGATAAGAAATGGAATCATCTCATACAGGAAAACCAAAACATTATAACAATTTCAATATACATGGTTATTCCCTTTCTAAGGAAGTCAGAATTATGTATGGCAGCCTACATTCTTTTACACTAGAATGTGGAAATTACAGCGGGTGTTTCTCTGAATAGAAGTGATTGCATAAAATAATAACCAAACAGCTGTGTTATAGCTATATCCCAGACAGTGACTTTATGGTATCTATATTTCTTAAAACATATCTCGCCCACTCCCTTCCTCTGGGGTAGTAGAGGAAGGGAGTGGGTAGGGGAGACAAGAGAAGGGATTGCAAGGAGTGAATGGGTCGAGGTAGATGAATAGAGGGTAACTACCATAACGAATGCGTCCTACGTATGAGTAAAGTAAACGTCACAGAGAGAAAAAAGTATTTATTTCCTTGTGCATCAAACCTACAAATTTGTTGACACATGCATACCACAACACACATCAACAGAGGGAAGATACCTTAATGGGCGGGGTTGGTTCTGGGTCGACCTGTGAGGGTGATGAGAGCAGGAGAGTGGAGCGAGAGGAAATGTGACATATAAAAGCCAGAACTTGACACGGGAAAGCATCACTTCCAACATGAAGCTCCTGGTAAGTGAGGTCTCTGTTGTGTCAGTGAGTTTGCTCGAATTGAAAAGTGTGAAAGGAATGATACGAGGAAAAGAAATGAAAACAATGAAATGCTCTTATAAAGCAAACTATGTCACTGCTTTCTCATTTTGCAGGTCTTAATCACAACACTCGTGGCCACGTCATTAGCCATCCCTCAAGGTTATAACTTAGGTACTCCTTCAGGACCAAGTTTTGGTATTGGGGGTCCGGGTTCAGGATTTGGCTCAGGAGGATGCGGCCCTGGACAGGTGCTGCATGTCGACGGCAGGTGTGTCACTCCACGCATTAACCGTAAAGTTTACCTATATGACGCGCCACCAGCACCACCAATTCCCCACGGTCCTCCTCCTTACATCCCTGAGCCAACCATAGACACAAATATTGTGTTCATCCGAACTCCTGAAGGAGGACAAGGACCAGATCCCATCGTCATACCTCCACCACAACAGAAACACGTCCTATATGTCCTCAACAAACAGACACAACAAGGGCAGGAAGTGATTGAAGTGCCAGCACCACCAGCAACCAGTCCTGAAGTTTATTTCGTGAACTATGCTGATGGCGAGAACCCAGTTCTTCCCAGCGGTGTTGATCTTCAGAGTGCATTGAATGCTGCTTCCCAAGGAGGTGGTCAAGTGATTGGTGGCGGCGGAGGTGTCGGCGGCGGTTTCGGAGGCAGCGGAGGTGTTGGCGGTGGTTTTGGAGGCGGCATTGGAGGTGGATTCGGAGGTGGTGCTATAAACGGAGGTTTCATAAGCGGTGGCGACAGTGGAGAATTTATCACAGGAGGCGGTTTCGGCGGAGGTTCCAGCATTGTCTCCACTCCATCAAATCTTTACAGTACACCTTAGAGGTCTCCATCTAAACAACGTAATAGTAGATTCTTCTAATATGGCTTTATAAACTTTACCGTCTTGAATCCTAAACGAGTTTTGTTGTCTCTTATGGATGTTTATATATATTTCAATAAAGAAAAGAATAATAGATGAACAATTCTTGACCTATGTTCTGCTGCATAAAAGGCATAAGTATACATACATATGCACTTACAAACACAAGTATAAGTTGCTTTATGGTTTTGCTTTTAAGAACTTATATATATATTTTACTCGCCGAGTGCAACGACCAAGTAAAACATGTTATAATTCAGTTTAGTAAAATACCACTGGAAGTCTGTATCAATCTAGCTAAAAAACAAGGAAGTAAATACTATGATAACATGTAGGCCTATAGTAGTCAAAGAAAAAAATCACCTCTAAGCATTTCTTATCGACAGAAGATTCAAAGACTTATACAGGTTTGATATTGTTTTGTTACAAAGAAAAGGGTAATAATAGTTTTTTGTTTTGTTTTTATGATTAGTTAAATAAAATAAAATAAAATATAAAGATCGATTCGACTTTACCTCTGTTCTGCAAAATTGCTCATGGGAACGCAAACGTTTTCATATACACAAATACCAATAGTCTTATGGTTTAGTATTAAAAACAAGCATTTTCTTTCGTTCACCGTGTGCAGGGACAATTTGAAAAAAAAGGAAATAGAGGGCTCATCACCGTCACAAAAAAAAGAAAAAAAACAAACTATTTTTTGTAGGTCTAGATGAAAGATAACATACAATAGTGAACATTTTTCTTCCCAGATTTCGGACGCAACATCACTTTCTTTTTTGGTGAATGGGGAGGGGGGGGCTCCATATTTTAATTCATACACAAATTACGATTTATTTGAGGATTAGCATATAAAAAGAAATAAACAAAGGTCTTAAATAGATTGCATCATTCCATACACGCGAACTAAAGCAAACCGTTGCTTACAAATAACATTTACGTAGATGTATTCCCCTTTTTACGAGCTCAAAATCTATATTACCTTGTTCTTATTTAAAAACAGGAAGTAATTAATAGTCATACTTTTAAACAAGAAATGTGTACAACAAATCATATAGAGACATATATACTATTAATGTATGTTGTATTCCATTTCATACTGTTCGCATTAAGATGTTACGATCTCTATGCATATAACATTTGAACACGTATACGGACGCATATAGTAAAGGAAAAAGAAAAGCGTAGATAAAAGACAGTTAAACTGAAAAAGGAGCAGAGCTAGGATACCAAACGAAATACAACCAGCCGACAGCACTCGCACCAAATCTGAGATCCTACTTAACAGCTATTATGAAGAATATATAAATATAAATAGTAGAATAAACCTGAAAAAAATAAGACAAGACGAGAAACAATGAAAAAAAATACATATAGCAACCTAGATATTTATATTATGAGCATGAAAAAAGGACTTCTTTTTTATCCATATCAAACCTAGAAACTAATACCACAAACCTACAAAAACACGCGCGTACACGCGCGGATGGGTTGAGGCACGGATGACCGGGCTGGGGGAAAGGTAAAGGGAATGGAGGGTCGGTAGAGGGGATGGGAGGGGGGGATAGGAAGGAGTGACAGAGCTGGGGGAAGAGTTGGGAGTGGAAAGGAGTGGAGGGGAGTAGGTGATAACGGGGAGTCACCGAGCTGGGCGGGTAGGATCTAGGGCGACCTCTGAGGGTGATGAGGAGGAGAGCAGGAGAATGGTGGAGTGAGAGGAAATGTGGATATAAAAGGCGGCGCCAAGCGCGGGAAAGCATTACTTCCGACATGAAGCTCCTGGTAAGTCAGGTCTCTATTGTGTCAGTGTGTTTGAATAGAAATGCTACGAGGAAAATATACTAGATTGGATGAGATCATTATTCGGCAATATATCACATTGCTTTCTCATTTTGCAGGTCTTATTCTCAACACTCGTGGCTACGTCATTAGCCGCACCTCAGGGCTACAGTCTGGGTACGCCCTCAGGACCAAGTTTTGGAATAGGAGGTTCGAACCCAGGATATGGCTCAGGAGGATGCGGCCCCGGACAGGTCCTGCATGTCGACGGCAGGTGTGTCACTCCACGCGTCAATCGCAAAGTGTACTTATATGACGCGCCACCAGCACCACCAATTCCCCACGGTCCTCCTCCTTACATCCCTGAGCCAACCATAGACACAAATATTGTGTTCATCCGAACTCCTGAAGGAGGACAAGGACCAGATCCCATCGTCGTACCTCCACCACAACAGAAACACGTACTATATGTCCTCAACAAACAGACACAACAAGGACAGGAAGTGATTGAAGTGCCAGCACCACCAGCAACCAGTCCTGAAGTTTACTTCGTGAACTATGCTGATGGCGAGAACCCAGTTCTTCCCAGCGGTGTTGATCTCCAGAGTGCCTTGAATGCAGCTTCCCAAGGAGGTGGTCAAGTGATTGGTGGCGGCGGTGTCGGTGGTGGTTTCGGAGGCAGCGGAGGTGTTGGCGGTGGTTTTGGAGACGGAATTAGCGGTGGATTCGGAGGTGGTGTTATTAGCGGAGGCTTTGTAAGCGGTGGCGATAGTGGAGAATTTATCTCTGGTGGAAGTGGAGGTGGATTCATCACAGGAGGGGGTTTCGGTGGAGGCTCCAGCGTTATTTCCACTCCATCAAATCTTTACACTACACCATAGTGTTTACCATTTGAAAATTTCCATCATACTTCTAGTTAGAATTTTATCTAAGGAGCTTTATAAACTGCATAATCATGAATGTTTTTTTTTGTTTTGTTGTTTATATACATTTAATAAATATATGAGATAAAAAAAATCGATACTTGACCTTTAACGTGATGTATATGACAGTCACACACACACACATACAAACATTCGCAATCCTACAGAAAAACATATTTGTATACATATTCTTTAGTACTTATCATTTATTCAGTTCCTTCATAAATCATGTAAAAGGACAAATAAACAATAAAGGAAGTCGATTTTGTCACCGTCATAATTTAGTCTCTTAAAATTTTATATCAAATCGAATGTAATAAGAAAAATAAGAAACTAAAACGAACTTTAATATTTAATACGGAGGTATTTGTTTTGTTGACAAAAATAGAAAAAAGTCCATGTTCATATATAGACTAAGCATTGTAGGTTTAAGGTTGCTCAATATGGACATCATAATTCTAGTAACAATGGTAATGCTAAAATGAAATAATATAATCAATATCAATGTTAATGATTATAATAATAGTGATGACAGGGATGATTATCATGATAATAATAATGCTATTCTTATGTTTTCATCATTATTACTATCACTGTTATCAACATATCATCGTTATCATTATCACTATTACCAAAAGAATAATTGTTATTATTAATACTGTTATCATTATTACTTTCATTTTCATTATCATCATGAACGGCGTTATTATTATTATTATTATATTATTATTATCATTATTATTATTATTATATTATTATCATTATTATTATTGATATTATTATTATCACTATTATCATGATCATCCCTATTATTGTCTTTATTATTAATAGCATCACTATCAAACAAAATAATGATAATAATGATTATGATAATGAAAATACTACTGCAATTATTACTAATAAAATTAATAATAATAATGGTAATGTAGTAGTAATGGTAATGGTAATGATAATGATAATGATTATCATGATATTGATTTTGTAGAAATGGTATGAATGAGACTGAATATACACAATATGAATATTCATATATACATAATACATGTATTCATTCATATATTTCTGACGAAGATATAATCGAAACCGGTCACATACATCTCTCGTATTGTGAAGATATTTATTCTCATTCATACCTTTTCTATATTTGTCAACATGAATACGGTTCAATGATAGTAAAAGTAATAATACCAATAAGGGAAGTACTGGCATAAATGATGCAGATGAAAATGATAATGATAATTTTGATAATAATGATGATAATGATAATAATGATGCTAGTAGTAATAATAATAATAATAATTATAATAATGATAACAATAATCATGATGATAATAGAATATTTTTATCCATATGATAATAATAATAATAATAATAATGATAATGATAGTAATAATGATAATAATAATAATGATAATGATCATGACAATAATAATGATAATAATAATAAAAATAATAATGGTAATAACACTAATCATAGAAAAAATAATGATAAGAAATAATGTCAACAACGATATTGATAATATTAATAAGAAGCTAAAAAAAGGAATTTTACATGTTGAAGGTATTTAGTTGTTGCCATTTTCAAAGAAGCCCGAATTATGTTTTATTTCAGTTTACACACTGATACACTGGAAGGAAACCACAAAAAGAAATGCACAAAAGTATTGCCTGTCCCATATTTACTTCATGGTTTCGTATCAGTGTACGAGAAAGTCCCTACCTTAGCATTTATACATAAGATCACAATTGGAATGAAACTAATCCAAGAGTAAGAACATTTTTTCTCTCCGGGTTGAAGATGCTGCATGAAATACAAACCGAAACAACGTTTTTCGCTAGCAATTATGACTTATTTAACCTATATTTCCTCCAAAGATTAAAGGATATGGAAAATGGGGATATGTCACAAAAAGCAAGGAACAAAGAGGAAACAAAAAATTAAATAAACACGGAATATATTTAAAAAACGTGCCTCTATATACATAGATAGACCGAGGTTCGAATACAGTATCACAAAGAAAAATATATTTTGTTCTTAATGAACTTCATACGAAAAAACTCGAAAACCCACACTCACACTCACACACAAGGATAAGGGAATGGTGGGGAGTAGAGTATGGCTCGGGGAAAAAAGAAGGGTTTGGAAGGGTTTGGAAGGGGAATAGAGCGGGGCAGGCGGATAGAGTGGAATCGCCATAGCGGGTGAGGGATTGCACTAACAAACTCATGTCTAAACATACACCAATAGATGGAAGTAACCATAATGGGCAGGATATGTTCTGGGAGATCTTGGCGCGAGAAAGCATTACTCCAACATGAAGCTACTGGCAAGTTTGCTCGAATCGAATGGTGTGAATGGAATGATATGAGGAAAAGAAATGAAAACAATGAAATGCTCTTATAAAGTAAACTGTCACTGCTTTCTCCTTTTGCAGGTCTTAATCACGTCAATCATGACCACGTCATTAGCCACCCCTCAAGGTTACAACCTAGTTACACCTTCAGGTCCAAATATTGGAATTGGTGGTCCGGGATTAGGATTTGGCTCATGAGGATGCTATTTCGCACAGGTACAGCATGTCAACGGCAGGTGTGTCAGCCCACGCATCAACCGTAAAATGTATTTATATGACGCACTACCAATTTCCCACGGTCCTCCGCCTTACATCCCTGAGCCTACCATAGACAAATATTGTGTTCATCCGAACTCCTGAAGGAGGACAAGGACCAGATCCCATCGTCGTACCTCCACCACAACAGAAACACGTCTTTTATGTTTTCAACAAACAGACACAACAGGGACAAGAAATGATTGAAGTGCCAGCACCACCAGCAACTAGTCCTGAAGTTTACTTCATGAACCATGCTTCCCAGCGGTGTTGATCTCCAAACTGCCTTGAATGCAACTTCCCAGGGAGGCGGTCAAGGGAATGGTGGGGAGTAGAGTATGGCTCGGGGAGAAAAGAAGGGTTTGGAAGGGTTTGGAAGGGTTTGGAAGGGTTTGGAAGGGTTTGGAAGGGTTTGGAAGGGTTTGGAAGGGTTTGGAAGGGTTTGGAAGGGTTTGGAAGGGTTTGGAAGGGTTTGGAAGGGTTTGGAAGGGTTTGGAAGGGTTTGGAAGGGTTTGGAAGGGTTTGGAAGGGTTTGGAAGGGTTTGGAAGGGTTTGGAAGGGTTTGGAAGGGTTTGGAAGGGTTTGGAAGGGTTTGGAAGGGTTTGGAAGGGTTTGGAAGGGTTTGGAAGGGTTTGGAAGGGTTTGGAAGGGTTTGGAAGGGTTTGGAAGGGTTTGGAAGGGTTTGGAAGGGTTTGGAAGGGTTTGGAAGGGTTTGGAAGGGTTTGGAAGGGTTTGGAAGGGTTTGGAAGGGTTTGGAAGGGTTTGGAAGGGTTTGGAAGGGTTTGGAAGGGTTTGGAAGGGTTTGGAAGGGTTTGGAAGGGTTTGGAAGGGTTTGGAAGGGTTTGGAAGGGTTTGGAAGGGTTTGGAAGGGTTTGGAAGGGTTTGGAAGGGTTTGGAAGGGTTTGGAAGGGTTTGGAAGGGTTTGGAAGGGTTTGGAAGGGTTTGGAAGGGTTTGGAAGGGTTTGGAAGGGTTTGGAAGGGTTTGGAAGGGTTTGGAAGGGTTTGGAAGGGTTTGGAAGGGTTTGGAAGGGTTTGGAAGGGTTTGGAAGGGTTTGGAAGGGTTTGGAAGGGTTTGGAAGGGTTTGGAAGGGTTTGGAAGGGTTTGGAAGGGGAATAGAGCGGGGCAGGCGGATAGAGTGGAATCGCCATAGCGGGTGAGGTGAAGAAAAAATGTATATGTCTTACATTTGCACTAACAAACTCATGTCTAAACATACACCAATAGATGGAAGTAACCATAATGGGCAGGATATGTTCTGGGAGATCTTGGCGCGGGAAAGCATTACTCCAACATGAAGCTACTGGCAAGTTTGCTCGAATTGAATGGTGTGAATGGAATGATATGAGGAAAAGAAATGAAAACAATGAAATGCTCTAATAAAGTAAACTGTCACTGCTTTCTCCTTTTGCAGGTCTTAATCACGTCAATCATGACCACGTCATTAGCCACCCCTCAAGGTTACAACCTAGTTACACCTTCAGGTCCAAATATTGGAATTGGTGGTCCGGGATTAGGATTTGGCTCATGAGGATGCTATTTCGCACAGGTACAGCATGTCAACGGCAGGTGTGTCAGCCCACGCATCAACCGTAAAATGTATTTATATGACGCACTACCAATTTCCCACGGTCCTCCGCCTTACATCCCTGAGCCTACCATAGACAAATATTGTGTTCATCCGAACTCCTGAAGGAGGACAAGGACCAGATCCCATCGTCGTACCTCCACCACAACAGAAACACGTCTTTTATGTTTTCAACAAACAGACACAACAGGGACAAGAAATGATTGAAGTGCCAGCACCACCAGCAACTAGTCCTGAAGTTTACTTCATGAACCATGCTTCCCAGCGGTGTTGATCTCCAAACTGCCTTGAATGCAACTTCCCAGGGAGGCGGTCAAGTGATTGGTGGCGGCGGAGGTGTCGGCGGTGGTTTCGGAGGCAGTGGAGGTGTTGGCGCTAGCTTTGGAGAATAAATTAATGGTGGATTCGGAGGTAGTATCATTAGCAGAGGCTTTGTAAGTGGTGGCGATAGTGGAAAATTTATCTCCGGTGGAAGTGGCTATGGATTCATCATAGGAAGGGGTTTCGGTGGAGGCTCTCTCCGCTCTTGTGAATCTTTGCAGTACTTCGTAAAATACACCATTTTAATATCTCCATCGTACACTTCCAACTAAGGTTTTATCTAAAAAGCCATAAAGAATCTATATTCATGACGTATACGTTTTGTTTTGTTATACAGATGTATATTACTTAATTTAATGAATGTGAAAAAATACATACTTAAAGATGATTCTTGACCTATGCTTCGCTCCATTTGACAGGCGCGCCCGCGACCATAAACTACACACGCACATGCTTAAGTATGGAAAGTTACGAAGTTTGTATATTTATGGTTTAGTATTCATTATATAAATATTTTCATCTTGTATTTTTTCCTCATTAGCCTCGTGTAGAGGAAAATTAAC